TAACCACTAAGCTACCAGAGCTCCTTGTGTTGATAGTTGATCCAAAAAGAATAAAGTCCTTGACAACTTCAATCTTTTCTCTATTGATAAGAATGTTGTTTATTGGTCCAGTGGTAAGGATTTTTGTTTTCTTTACATTGAAATGTAATCCATACGGAAGGCTGTGCTCTTTGATCCGAGGTCTAAGTAGCAACATAGACATAAAGACAATGAGCACCAACAGGAAAAGCTAGGCATTGTGTGATGATCGAGGAGCCCCGGTGACACTACGCTGCTAATGATTAGGTCAGCAGTCAAAGCACTAGTCACTCTGCTGGAGATCCATGAAGCTTTCTGCTCATGTAAAGATTTGCTGTTGTTGTTGTTAAGTGCCTTCAAGTCAGTTCTGACTCATTGTGGACCCTATATAGGATTTCCAAGGAGTAGGTAGGTTTGATCTGCCAATATTATGGTTAGCAGTCCCGTGCTTATACTGTGGCACCAAACCAGGACTCCCTGTAAAGATTTACAGGCTCAGAAACTCTCTAATTGTTGTTGTGAAGTACTGTTGCATCAATTCTGACCCATAGCGACCCTGTATAGGGTTTCTGAGGAGCAGCTGGTGAGCTTGAACTGCTGATCTTGCAGTTTCAAACAGCTTTGCAGTCTGGTGCATTGGCCCACAGCACGGAATCAACTCAGTGTTAGTGGGGTTGGAGTTGGCTTTGGATCTGATGACCATAGAGATAGAAACATCTACAAAGCCAGGAATTGCAAGCATTGTCAGCTGCTATAAAGCTAAAATAGACAAACAGACAAAGAAGAACCTCCCCCAAGGGCTATACTCCTAAATATGAGAATATCAATTTCTGCTCTTCAATGCTACCCCCTTGTGGTATTTCTGCTACAGCAAGACTAGGGAACTAAGGCAGATACAAATCTGGAAGCTCTATATTCACACATTCCTTTTCCCAAAATTTTAATGAAATTTTCTACTGTGAACTTACTGTGCACGGTACACTCTCTCAAACTCGGGTGACCCGGTAACTGCTGGAGGAATAATTTTGTATTTTAATCTTGCCTTTCCGACCTGGAAAGCAAAATAACCTGCAAGTAAAGAGGAATTTTTTTTTTTTAGTCATTAGGAAAATGAAAATTAAACCACAGTAAGATACAGTACACACCTACTGCTGTTGTTAGGTTCCATCCATTGGGGTTCCTATGTTTAACAGCAACCCTATGTAGAAGTGTTGTTATTATTGTTAAGTGCCAGCAAGTCGGTTTTGACTCATAGCAACCCTGTATAGGGTTTCCAAGAGTGGCTGGTGGGTTTGAACTACCACCCATGTGGTTCTCAGTCCAGTGTTGATCCTACAGCCCCATACCAGGAGTCCCTGTATAACAGTATTAGAGTTTAAATTCAGAGCACTTGGTTTTTGGAAAGCTACTGTTTACAGTGGGAGTTCTAAATCCATTTTGAGTCTGATATAAATTTAGCCTCCATTGAGCTCTATCTGACCACTAACCTGCAGTGTAAAGACCTTTAACCAACACTTGCATCTTCTGTTTCTGAACTCAGTACTTCTCGCCTCCTGTCCTATTTCCCTTAATTAACTTCTGGGATCTATTCTTTTCCATTCAGGTTATTTCTTCCAGGTTCAGCTCCTTACCAGTTCTTTCCAACACCACTCTCTTGTCTCACTTATTTTAGTGCCCCAATATCCACTTCCTGCTTGCAATACTTTAAGAATAGTGACATTTTAAACTCTATACCTAGTTTGTAGCTCCATCTCTCACTGTGTGTTACACTATTAGGGGTGATGTGTTTCCTCCTGAAACAGGATATTATCTCCCTTCCAACAAGAAGCCAGTAAATATTGGACCTGGTTTAGAAAGGGCTCTCACAGCAGGTTGCTGCCCTCCCCTAATCCCCCTTTGCTGCCAACAAGCTGTTGTTTAGGATTTAAAAGCTGTGGCTGAACATCTGAAGTGTGTGAATGCTTATGATCAGATTGTTTCTCATTCCAACTGCAGTCACCTCTCCTGAAGTCTGAGAGAGTAGACAGGATGTGAGAAGAGTGAGATGGGGGCATGGTGGCTTCACCCCTAAATACTTGCTGGGCAACTGAAGTCTGGAGGGGCCAACGCTCATTGGTCCAGTTGGAGATGGAAAAGAGGAGTCCTGGTGTGGCGCTGTAGGATAAGCGCTCGATCATAAAGTTGGTTTGAACAGCAAGGTCAGTGGTTCAAACTTACCAGCCACTCTTCAGAAACCCTATATAGGGTTGCCATGAATCGGAACTGACTAGACAGCACTTAACAACATTAAGGGGAACACTAGGACGTGGCCATTCCAGATACTGTTATTTCTAATTGCTTCTACCCTGCTATATAGCCTTGGAAAAAACACTTGGCAAGACTTCTTGTTTCCCTCTATAAAATGGAAACAATGAAAGACACGTGCTCATAGATTTTTAAGTTAGCAATGGCCCAAGAACCTAGAACTTCAAAGTGAAGTTCAAGCACTGAAAGTGCTTCATTCTCTAGGCTACGGACAGCAGTCTCACATCAGCAAATGTGAAGGATGAATTTCAGTAAGTGAAACATGTCTTACAATTCCATGTTTCCTCCAGCTTTTTGAAACCCTCTTGTATTAGTAGTTGTCTAATCGGCCCCATGAGAGGGTTCTGGGTGCTCAGATTCCAGCCCCAAGGGTGGAAACCCCTGTCTGTTCTCTCAGGTCAGGAGTCTATCACTGGCACAACATGATGAGGGTGGGAAGATGATTTCATCTTTCTTTCTGGAGAGCTTCCATTTTATTTCCTTCTTTGTTGTTGTTATTGGTAAATGCCATCGAGTCAGTTCTGACTCATAGTGACCCTATATAGGGTTTCCGAAGCTGTAAATCTTTTCAGGAGCAACTAGAGGAAAAAAGAAGAGATAAAAAAAGGATAATCCACTACAATTTGATGGACTTGACCTATACTTATGGATGTAGTAGCTCAAAAGAGGAAACGAATCTTTATAACGAGGATCATACCCACCCCTTCAGTACACAGGGTAGACAGGGATGGGCAACTTAAACATTGGCTACCCAAAATGGGGGTGCTACAAAGGCACGAAGTGACTGACTTACAAGCTTTCAAGAGGGAGGGTTTCAGAGGGTATAGGGAAAGGTAGAATCTCCACTGAGTGGTTCCCAACCTGTCCAGAAGGGGCTGGTGAAAGGAAATGGAGATAAGACTCTTGTGGTTCAATAGTGAATAATTGCTATCAGGACTGATTATGAGTGTTGCAAATATAAAAGTAGACATTTTGTAACAAAATGAGAGGAGTGGTTGATCTGACAGTCTAGAAGCAGAAGACCCCAGGACCATCAAGTGAGAAGAGTGGAGTGTGGGACCCTATCCAGAGAAGCAGAGACACCAAAGATGGAGGAAGAGATGATGACGTGGAAAGATGGAGCGGCTGGGGACTCTGGATTCAGGGTAGGAGAGGGGCTGAGGGGTGTGCCCTTTGGTTGTTTGAATGGTTGTATATTCCTGAGTGCTTCGGTGTACAACCAAAACAAACAGACAAACAAAACAAAAATGCTGTTTAATGCTGATGCATGGAGGAGATTGTAATCATTGTAATGAAACGAAATATGATAGGATGAAGGTAAAGTTGATGTCAACCAATTCACAATAAAAAATAAAATAAAAAAAAGTAAGTGGAAGAAGCAGAGACAAAAGTAGATACCACATCAAAAAGACAAAGAATAAAGACCATCCCTGGGAGCATGGTAGCTCGACAGAATAACCATTGGTATGTGAGCCACAAGGTCAGCAGTTCGAGGCCACCAGCTACTCCATGGAAAAAAATGAGGCTTTCTTCTCCTGAAAAAGATTTAAAGCCTAAAAAACCCTATACAGGGTTGCTGAGTCAAAACCAATTCTAAGGTACTTAACAACAACAACAAGGACCATCCATAAGAGTCAACGGAAAGAACTCCTTCACATAAAATTAGCACCCTGAATTCAGACGTCCAGCCTCCCACATTGTAAGAGAATACATTTCTGTTTGTGAAAGCCATCCACTTGTGGTATTTCTGTTTTAACCAATCTAGAAAATTAGTGAACTTGTCAAAGACTTGCAACCACAATCAATGTTCATGGAAGCAGTAGTCACAAAAGCAAATGATCTATTGCATTAGTCAAATCTGGTGCAAAAGAGTGCTTGCTTTAAAGTGTCCCAAAGCAAAGATGTCTCTCTTAGTTCTCCAGGTTTGAGAATTAAGGTGTGCCTGATTCAAACCATAGTATTTTCAATTGCCTTAAATGAATGTCAAAGTTGGACAATGAACAAGGAAGGTCTGAGGGTAATCGATGCATTTGAATTATATGCTGTCAAAGAATATTGTAAGTACCATGGACTGACAGAACAAACAATCTGTCTTGAAAGAAGTACAGCCAGAGTGCTCCTTAGAAGCAAGAATGGTAAGACTTCATCTCTTGTACTTTGGACCAGTCCCTGGAGAAGGACATCATGCTTTGAAAAGTGGAGGGTCAGCAAAAAAAAAAAAAAGAAGAAGGAAGAGGGTTCCCTCAGTGCAAACCCCTTTCCAAGACTAAGACCTAAGACACAATGGGAATACACTCTCTGATTGGTGACCACACTCAACACCGATAAGGGGAAGTGAGGGGAAAACAGCAATGAAGCGGTGAGCTAAGCCCTACAACATTCAATAGACTTCTGTGAACCCGGGTGAAGATCTGGTTGGCCAGCAGTGTGGCAAGATCTGGGGACTCTTGGGCCCAGAGTCAGTGACATAGCCACAGAAGACTAGAGTGGAGAGTGAAGCATCCAGCTGATAAGAAGAGAGGGCATACGCATAAGAACACCCACACTTGCAGATAATACCCACTTATCCTGGCTTCAGT